CGGTTCCGTGCTGCTCGCTTCGTCGACCTTGTCCGCCTCCGCGTGCCCATTCGTCAAAACAGCATCAGCGGCGGCAGCATCACTGCCGTTGGCGACCACCCGCCTGAAAATCCGAATAGACCCGTCCTGGCCCGCGCTGACCATGTTGTTCCCGTGGACATCGACCCAGAAGCAGACGCTTCCCTTGCCGTCCCGGTCCTGTCGGTGCGCGGGCATCCTCTGGACGACTTCCTTGGTGACTACGTCCCAAAGGAGAATCTCGCCGTCCTCGCTCGCCGACGCGATAAAGGCCCCCTCGTCAGGCACGATGCCGAAGCATCCCCCGATGGCGAACTTGTTGTTCGCGTGGCCCTGGTACGTCTTCAGGACGGCGCCCGAGACGTAGTCCCACAGGCGGATGCTGTTGTCGAGGTTGAAGGCGAGGACGAAGCGGCCGTTGGGCGAGAAGCAGACGGAGGTGACGGCGGGGTTGTCTTCGTGGACGAGGGTGCGCAGGCATTGGCCTGTGTATGTATCCCAGATACGGCTGTCACCCTTCGTTAGTGTCTCATCCAAGGGGAAGGGGGGGGGGGGGTGCTCTGCTCACATCAGTCCGTCGGTTGAACAACTGACGACCAAGGTCCCGTCGCAGCAAAAGTCGATTCCGCTCACGGGGTCACTGTGCGCGGGCAAACTCCTCATCAGCCTCCCCGCCCTCACGTCCCACAGGAAGACAGCCTCGTCGTAGCTCCCGCTCGCGAGGATGTTGCCCTTGGGCGAGAAGGCCAGGCAGTGCACGTAGTTGTGGTGCCCCAGCAGCGGCGGCATCGGCCTGTGGCTGCTGCCCTCCTTGGCCAGGACGCCGCCCATGCCTTTGGCTGTGACCTTGGGCCGGCCCGTGACCCTGTCCCACAGCCGGATCGCCTTGTCGTCGCTGCCGGACGCGAGGGTGCCGCTGTCGGGGCTCCACGCCACGCAGCTCACACCCGCCATGTGGCCCACCAGCGTGTCCATGTGCTTTCCCGTGTCCGCGTCCCAGATCTTGAGCGTGCCGTCCGCCGAGGCCGACGCGATCCACCTGCCGTCGGGCGATATCCGCACCTGCGACACGGGCTTGCCGTTGTGGCCGCTCAGCACGCGCGTCTCGCGGTAAGTCGGCCGCACGGGACCCTTGCGTGCCGGTGTCGCGGGGGTGACTGCGCCTCCCGTCGTGACTTCAGCGTCCTCCTCTGCGCCAGGCGAGAGTCGTAGTCTGCAGTCGACATTGTCTGCGAGGCTCCGCGAGGATGACGAGCCGCGGGACGTGGAGGCGGGCGTCGGAGAGCGCGAGGGTGATGCGGTCGGGGAGCGGGGTGAGCGGGAGCGAGAGCGCGAGGAGCGGGAGTAGTACGCCCCGTTGAGCTCGTCGTCGCTTGGGGACCTGCTAGGCGTCATGCTAGGACGGGCTCGCTGGGTGGACAGGCGGCGGCGGTGGGTTGTCTTTGTGCGCTTTGCGGCGACGGAGGCAGCCAGCTCGTCGCCGGTGACCGTCAGCTCGTCGGGGGAGCTGTAGCGGGGGGTTGCTGTCTGGTCGAGGAGTTTGCGACGTTTCGGGGGCGGTTCGGGGAGGGGTGTGGAGACTGCTGGGGAGTTGAGGTCTGGCATTTTCCTGGGACCGTCCGCGGTCGTCGCGTCGATCTTGTTGGGTCGGGGAAGCCGCAGGTTGTGAAACTTCGATATGTCGGTATCGAAGGCAAGAAGGGGAAAGTAGGAGGAACTGTCGGGCGGCGAGGGAAAGAGGCCAGGACAAGGCTGAAAGTGACGATGGACATGAACTTTTGGAAGCAGCAGCAAGGAGCAGCAGCAGGGAGCAGGGGGCCTGACGTTTGGCGGTAAAGCGCACTGCACTCACTGTCAGCCTCGTCCCACCGCACGGATCGCCAGAGGGTCGCTGGGGGACGCTAGAAACAATTCAGCGGGTCTGGAATGCTGCAGTGACACTGCGGCTACCGATTGGTCAATGGGCGTTTTGCTGGTGGAGCGGCGCCGTTGAGGTGCACGTAAAAACGGGGCCCTCCCGAACCCCCGGCCGGCTGCCGACGGAGGAGAGAGTTCACGGCGCAACGTCATTTTTGGAGAGTCAGTCTGAGCGATGGGCGATGGCTTCGTCTCATCTTATTCAAGTTCAAACCTGAGGCTATGATCATGAAGCTTGGCCGTTTTGAAGAGTTTTCACTCAATTTGCATTGCTGCGGAACATTCGGCGCACCTTTGACCGCACCGCATCCGTCCATGCCTCAATGCAACCAGATCTAACCGCCCTCATCATCACCACGCCCATCAGCCCAGCTTCTTAAAAAAACACTAGCTAGCCCCATCCATCCTACCACACCCACACTCACCCCGCTACCACCGCCAAGATGGAGAGCCCGTACGAATCCGCCCAGCTTCTCAGGCAACACAGCTCACCCGCATCCCAACACATCCAGATGCAATCCCTCAGCAGCCTCAACAGCGTCAAGATGGACAATCCAAATGACCTCCGCCTCCTGACCTTGAACTGCTGGGGTCTGAAGTACATCTCCACCCTCCGCGCTGCTCGCCTCGAAGCGATCGGCCGGCGCATCCTCTCCCTCCCAAAACCGCCAAACATCGTCTGTCTGCAAGAGTGCTGGGTCACAGCCGACTTCGAATCCATCCGCCACACCCTCGCCCCCATCCTCCCGCATGCAAAGTTCTACTACTCGGGCCCCTTTGGCGGCGGCCTCGCCATCCTCTCGCGATGGCCCATCGTCGAGTCCTCCATGCACCGGTACCCTCTCAACGGGCGTCCCACCGCCTTCTGGCGCGGCGACTGGTACGTCGGCAAGGGCATCGCATGCGCCCAGATCCGCATCCCCGTCGCCGCCGGCGAAGACGACATCGCCACCACCAGAGAGCAGACGCTGAGCATCTTCAACACGCACACCCACTCCCCTTACACCGAGAACCAGCCTGGCGACAGCTACCTCGCCCACCGCCTCGCCCAGGCCTGGGAGATGTCCAAACTCTGCCGCGGCGCCGCGGAGAAGGGTCATCTCGTCCTCGCCATGGGCGACTTCAACATGCGGCCTCTCAGCCTTCCCCACCGCATCATCACCGCCCACGCCCCCGTCCGCGACGTCTGGCGCGAGCTGCACCCGGACTCGTCCCTCGGCGCCGTGGAGGACCCACTCGAGAAAGCCCGCGGCCGCCCGGCGCCCACCGCGGACTTCAACCTCCACGAGAACGGCGCAACCTCGGACGGGCCCTTCAACACCTGGCGCTGGCCCAAGCACCTCCAAAAGAAGCTCGGCGAGGGAAAGCAGCCCGTCGTCATGCCCCCAGACACGATTGATCTCAAAGGCAAGCGACTGGATTACATCTTCTTCGGCGCGCCCACAGATCCAAACGGCGGGGAGTGGGTCATCAAGGAGGCGGAAGTCGGCATGGTAGAGCCTCATCCCACCCTGGGCTGTTCCCTGAGCGACCACTTCGCCGTCGAGGCGACGCTGTCATATCACCCTACCAGGATCCGCAGAGATCCCAGGCTGTCCGCCAGGCTGTCCATCCAGCTTGAACCCTACCTCCTGCAGAGCCTGTCCCTTTCCGATGCTGAGTACGACAGTATTCTGTCCACGGTGCGTGAGTACGTCACGCGTGAGGAGAAGCAGCGTTTTAACAGGGGTATGCACTTCGCTTTCTGGTTCACTGTTCTTTGGGTCTGTCTTATAGGCGTGTGGTGGAGTAAGCACAACGCTGTGGCTTTCATTCTGATGCTCTTTAGCAGCTTCGGTTTGGTCGCGGGTGTTATCGATGGCCTGTTGTCATTGCTATTCTTCAACACAGAGTTGAGGGCCCTCAAGGAGTTCGAATGGGAAATGAAAAATGCCAAGGGTCAAGCTCTTTGGAAATCTGGGAGGGCCTCAGGGATGGAAAAGCCTATGTGAGCGGCAACCCCCAGAATAGTGTCGATGGCGATGATGGGAGAGCCTGTATATACACGATAATGTTTATGTCTTATTTCTATCCAATACCTCTGGTTCGTTTACCTCATCAAACGCCATTACACCACTAGCCACCTCAGTTTAAAATGTTTGAGCCGGTTGCAGGCTTTCAATCTGCGAAGGGTACGCGAACGTTTCGCCCTGTAATACGGCATGGTATGGTTCAGCGTCATACTGTGCAGGAGCCGGCCGGAGCCTGCTTCGAGGCTTGCGCCACGAGTAGCCCAGAAACGCCGTTTGCTTCCTCAGCTGCATCACTTCATATTTCGTGTCCGGGTCCCTGAGCAGCATGTCTCTGGGTCGCTTGCGTTCCTTTTGACCATACTTCCTGACGTACTCTTTCAAGCCATTCTTCCCATCGTAACTTAGCCTTGAGAAACATTCGTCAATGTCGCGATCGATTTGCTTGAGCCGCGTTGAGTCGTAAGGCTGCTTGATGGCATTCATTACAAAAACGACGTGTTCTTCTCTGTAATCACAGGCCGCAAGAGATCTCCTTAGTTTAAGCCAGATTCGGTCGGGGATGGCCTCGTTCCCGTCTACTACATCTTGACCATCAGAGCTTGATGACTCGGACCAGTCACTGATGGGCTCGTCTTCTTCGAAATAACGGGTGTCGAGGTCGCCGCGGATGAGGGGCAGCCACTGTGGCGTTCGTTCACGCAATTGAGACCATTTGATCCCTCGAAACCACGGATGTCTCTTGATATCAGAAGCATCGTTCGGAAACACGTACTGGCGCCGGATGAGACCTTGGTCGCGATACTGCGGAGACGAAAGACGGTGATGCTTCTCCAGAAGCAAGCGGTTAATCAGATCTTTACATGCGTCTGATACTGGAGGTTCTTCGGGAAAAGCCAAGGGTCCCTTGAAATTCTGTCCACAGTTAGTAATAGCAGGTTTTCAGCAGTCCGTATTACTCACGGTGATGTTCTTCTTGGTGTACTGGCGACCCTTATCAGAGATGAATGGCGTATACCCGTAAAGGCATTCATAAAGAATGATTCCGATGCTCCACTAGTCGCATCTGCCATCGTACCTCTCACCCATGACGACTTCTGGAGCCATGTACTGGCTGGTGCCCACAACGGAGCGAGCATGCGACCGGCGCGTGGCAGTGGCTCTCCAGTTGAGAAGATCATCGACCAGAAGGCAGTCTGAGGAACCACGTGGACGATTATTTCCGTTCCTGTTCTCCTGCCCCAATCGCTCCCTGAGGAGTAGCTTGCTGCCTTGGACAACTTGGAAAGGAGGCTCGTGTCGTGTAAAGTTCAGCTGGCATGAGCTCTGCTTTTGTGCTGGATCCGAATTTGACTTTCGGTCTTCATAGTCTCCGTTGAGGGCGAATGTCTGTTTCGAGAGCAGCCCTTGTCGTTGCCATCTGTAGTACGAAGTGTCGTGAGACCAATGGTCGTCGAACGCAAGGCCGAAATCTGAGATCTTGAGATGACCGTCAGCGCCAATGAGAAAGTTGTCGGGCTTCACATCCCGATGAATGCAACCTAGCCTGTGCGCTTCCTCAACACAGAGTATCATCTCGGCAATATAAAACCGTGTCCGTGACTCGCTGAGCACTTTTTCTCGAATCAGCAAGCCTAGGAAGTCGCCCCCAGGCATGTAGTCCATGACAAGATAGAGATTCGCCATGTCTTGGAAGCTGAATAGCAAGGGGACAATCCTGGCGGATAGTTCTTGGTTAGAAAAAAAAAACACCAATAGCAAGAGGCAAGCTCACCATTCGGAATCTGAGGCGGCGACCAAAAAGTCTCTTTCCGCCCGCAAGTGACCTTCTTGGCAGCTTCGAATCATGTCCGACTTTCGAATAATCTTCATGGCGTACACCTCATTGTACTTTCTTCGGACGTACTTATCTCGAACGATCTTTCGGACGAGCTTCACGACACCAAAGCTACCCTTACCGAGGATACTCATGGTCTTGAAGTCATCAACGCATAATCCAAGGGGATGCCCATGCTTGCTGTTTCCCGATGCCTTCGTTGACCATGTGGACAAGATCGACCTGCAGCCCTGAGCTTTGTCGACTCTTTGCTTGCGGAGATTGCTAGACTCTTCCTAGAAGCACAAGTCCATCTGCTGCTGAACCTCCGTGTTGGATAGATGCGAGTGGTTCAAGTGGTGCCGGAGCGCCCAGACACGCTGTCGACGCTGCTCGAGTGGCCCCCTGTGCGCACCACGAGGAGAAAGAATCTCTTCCTAGTAGCTCTCCAAGTAGATCTTGGCTGCGGCGACCTTCTCGATGGTTCGAACCCTCTCAACGTCAACTGGCTGGAGCGGGGGAGCCTCGTCTTCTTGCGATCGCTGCGATCGCTGTGAGGTCTCTTCGGCGGCCGCGAGCCTGCGAGGGCTCTGGTCGCGGTCACCGTTCATCCGGATCGGGACCTTTATATTCTGGATCAAGCGAGAGAAACTGCTGCTGCCGCTTGATCTGGGTCCTGCCTTAACGTCAGCGTCCACCTCGACGTGTTACTCATCTGGCACGGCTGTACCTGCAGAGGAGATACTGAGCTTGGCCCAGCCCTGGATCTTGCGGATCATTGTCCCGTTCTCATGGCGAAGTTTCATCGGGTGGTTTGCCTTGGCGTGGACGGGACTCAGATGGACAGATGGAAGCGGTGCGGTGTACAGCGGAGTGCTGCTGGAACGGCGAGGGGAGGCTTCCATGGCGACGATTGGGTAACTGGCGTGATGTATAAGTTTGCTGATAAACGATCTGTATGAATGACGTAGAGTCCAAAAAGAGAGACGGAAAGCCGACCAGCGATGGGTGCTTGATCTGGCGATGTGTCTGTGGACGTTGATGTTTCCCGGGTTTCAGAGCAAAAGGAAGACGACAAGATAAGTATTCCAGCCACGTTCAGCAAATGACACTCAGCAAGGGATTGGCTTCCGGCAGGGGCAATGTCGTCACTCCTTCTGGTGGCAAGAGGCATGTTTCCACGGCAACTGGCCACCTGCCGAAGCATCACGAGACGGATGGAGCAGCAGGTCCGGGACTAAAATGGAAACAGTAAGGAAATCTTTTCGTTAGGAAACCGAAACTAAGTACAGACCGACCGGAAGAAACCATAACCGGTGCGAAAATTCCTACAACGGAAACTCTTTTGTGGTACGCCAACCAATGCAGTGTAAGTCCTCGCCTCGTCATCCCATCCAACAAAATCTGCTTCCCGCAAAGTGATGATTGCAGATCTTCACAGATAGCCACAGGTCGGAGACTCTCCATTGCGGCACGGCGCAAGCATATGCTCGCAATCCCGCGAACACACATCATTATAAGGGATAGTCATCGTCTGGACGCCGGTGCCCAGCTAGTCCAAGCCATCTTCGTGGTAGACATGCCAGGCAAGTATGTGTACAGTAGGGCACCCTCAGTCGGCGTCTCTTCGCCGAAGGCGGGCATATCGTCAAGACATTTACTTGATCTCAAGGAGCTTGACGTCGAAGGTCAGGGTGCTGTTGGCGGGAATGCCAGGCAGGCCCTTGGAGCCGTAGGCAAGGTGAGCGGGGATGGTCAGACGACGCTCGCCGCCAATAGTCATGCCGAGGATACCGACATCCCAGCCCTTAATGACCTGGCCCTTGCCGGCCTTGAAGGAGAAAGGCTTGCCCTTCTTGTTGGCTGCAGGCAGAGTTAGCATAGCGAAAATTGAAGGATCGTTATCATCTGTGCTTACCATCGAACACCTTGCCATCGTCGAGCTTGCCAATGTAGCGAACACCGACGGTATCGCCGTTCTTGACGGCGCGGCCAGAGCCGACCTTGCGGTCGTCAATGGTGACGCCCTGGACGACCTTGACGCCGACCTTGCCAGCCTGCTTCGCCTTCTCAGCGGAGCCGGTAGGGCCCTGCTCGAGGTTCTTGGCGAACTGGACCTTCTTGTCGGACTTGGGGGTGGACTTCTCCTCGGCGGCGACGGCCTCGCCCTTGTTGTTCTTGAGCTTCTTCTTGTCCTTCTTGGACAGCTTGGACTCGTCCTTGCTCTCGGCGATCAGGTCGTCGAGGCTCTCGGCGGCGCGCTTGTTCTTGCCCTTCTTGGTCTCGACCAGCTTGGGGGCCTCCTCGTCGTCGGAGTCGACCTCCATGACGCGGGGGTCGGCGGTGTCGTCGAGGTCATCGCTGTCCTCGTCAGAGACCTCGCCCATGGCGTACTCGAGCTCATCGGGGGAGAGGTCGTACTCGCCGTCCTCGTCGTCCTCGTCCTCGCTGTCGGAGCCCTCCTCGGCATCGATAACGTAGTTGCCGGTCAGGTGGACAGTGTGGGTACCAGAGACGACGAAGAAGACCTTCTCGCCCTCGGTGACGGTGATGTCAAGAGGCTGCTGGTAGTTCTGTAACATTGTTAGCGGGGTCCTCGAAGGCGTCTGTGGGTTGTGGCGCAACTTACGCGCTCGGTGTCGAGAGTGCAGATGACAAAGTTCTCGAGGTCGAGACCGTCCTCGTCGTCGCTGTCCTCCTCGCTCTCCTCATCCTCGTCGTCGTCGGAAGCCTTGGCCTTGCCCTTCTTGCTCTTGCCGTTGGGCTTGGCATCGTCCATCTCCTCGTCAGAGTCCTCCTCTTCTTGGGCAGCCTCGATCAGCTTCTTGAGGGCGTCGGCCTGCTTCTGCTTCTTGGACTTGGCGGGGTCGCTGGGGCCGCCGTTGGGCTCGTCGTCATCATCAGAGTCCTCGTCATCGTCGTTGGCGGCGATCAGAGCCTTCATGTACTCCTCGTCAATCTCATCATCACCATCCTCCTCGAGGTCGTCGCCGAAGCGCTGCTTGACCAGGCGGAGGGTAGAGCGGGGGACAGCAGGGATGTTTCCGTCGTTGTCAGCCTCAGGCGCCTCGGTAGGGTCAATGGCGGCCATGGTGATGCGGAACTGCAATTGCACAATCAGTCACTGTCGTGAGGCGAATGCGCCGGGCGCGAGTAGCAGTCCAGCAGCGATTCGCGCGCTGGCGCACCCCAGGCTGGGAGCCCAGAGGCGAGGAAGATACTTACAGTGGCAGGGAAGTCGGGAGAAGCGGGAATGAGGACATCGCCAGGAGGGATCTCCAGACCGTAGAGAGCGACAGGCTGGGCCATTTTGCCGGTGTGTGAAGTGTTGCGTTAAAAGAAGTGAAAAGGATGCCGCGTTCGGACTTGTACTGGGAATAATTAAAACGTCAAAGGAGTCAAAGGACCGTTGACTTGAGAATGTCTTGTTTGGGTATCGAGGGAATTGGGGGGGGGGGGGGAGAGATGAGAGATGCAGTGGAGGGAGAGAGAGGTTGTACAGAGAAGGTGAGGTCCAGGTAGAAGAGCTTTTGCCTGAAATTTTTTTTCCTCATCGACGCCTGCCCGGGACCTTTTTTTTTTTTCTGGCGTCGACCCCACCGCCCAAGGCACTAGCGCCGCCTTATCGGTCTTATCCTGTCATAGCAACAGCTGCACAACGACGACCTTGACAGGGAAGCTGCGTCCGGGGAAAGAACTGCATAGGACCCTTGCTCAAGAAAAAAAAAAGATGGACTCCAGTTGCACAATTGCGGACGGTGAGGATGGTGATGGAGCCACCGAGAAGCATCCGCGCACACCGCTCTGTTCTTCCTCCCGCTGCCTCGGCGCGATCCAGCGCAGTTGACATGGGTCTTGGATAACGTCTGAGACCCGCTCTGATGCGATTTATTGGGAGTCTGGCCCGCCGTTGCACGTTGCAGAGGCAGGACATCCGGACTGGAATGCACATCATCTTCACGTCTCGCAAAGACTGTCATACATCTCGAGAGATGAGGATAAATGGCAGGATATCTGATGATACCTTGACCTTTTTCAAGAAGAATTCTTCCCTCTAAAAATCTGCCAAAACCGATTTTTAATAAAGGCTCTGAAAAGAAACTGGGTCTTCAAAACCAACGTGAACCCGCCGTTACAGAAGTAGGACTCGAATGCACACCATCTTGACCACGTCTCGCAAGGCCTGTTATAGATGCTCTGTCTCGAAATTATTTGACGGATGAGGATATCTCTCCAGTGACAATTTGCGAAAGGAAAGATACTAGGAAAAGACAAGCTGTCTTAACAACTCCGTCACACAGCTCACATCTCATCCCCTTCTCGATCACACGCCCTTCGCCTTGCCTGGCCTCACGAACCAAGCCTTGACAACCTGCCACACAACACCCAAAAAGTACACCGTCTGCCCCTCCCCGTAGAACTGCCCGCGATCACCAACATCCGCCATCGAACACGCAATCTCAGCCACCGGCCCCGGGAAGTGCTTGCTGTTCCTCCTCGCATACGCCGCGACGAGGTCGTTCCCATTCGTGATCCCACCTATTCCTCATCATCAGCAAAGCCTCAAAAAAAAAAAAAAAACAAGAGATGCAAAACAAAACTCACCACCACTCCAGAGATTCCCATCCTGAACCCACCGATACCTCTCCCCCGAGAACTTCGTCCCGGGATACTTCTTCCTCAGCAGGTCCTGCACCCCCCTCGGCCCGCACACCGTCCTCCCCTCCAACAAGCCCGCCGCGCCGCACAGGAAGACACCCGTACACACGCTCAGTACATCCGTCTCCTCCCTCTCCGCGTGAGCCCTCAGGAACCCCAGCACGTCCTCCTCCCACTTGCCCCCCGGATCCGGCCCGGGGACGAGCAAGATGTCGAGCCGGCCGGGCTGCACGTCCGGATGGGCAATGTCGTGCGTCGGCGCGATCCGCAGATTCGACGTGATGGGAAGCAACTTCGTCTCAGAGGCGGACGGAGAATAGCCCGCGGAGGTGATGTACGATATCTCCACGCTGGGCGCCAGGTCCCGCATGTGCTTCGGCAGGAGGTCCATCGACTCCAGGTCGAGGTACTCCCTGGACATCATGTGGAAGATGTCGATGCAGGACAGGTCGAGGAGTTGGACCTCTCCCGGCACAAAGACGCCGATCCTGACGACGTTCGTGTTCGCCATGCTGGGACGCTCTGATATTCAATGTCTAGTTGTCTGTGGAGGTTAGCGACGAATAACCAAAGTATTCAGATGTCTCACCTGATCTACCCGTAAGCTGGAAACTCGAGTTGAAAAGCCTCTACCGGTCAGCTCTAGAAACCACATGCAAAGGACCACCGTCGTCTCTTGTATCGTATTTAATGCCGCGACAGCCTCGCTCGACCACCTCACGCCAACCCGACGGCCCTTGTGGCTCCGGACGACGACGGAGTAGCCCCGTCTCCGGCCCCATCCTCGGCCGGCTCTTACGGCCTCTCAACACCGTTGTGAGAATGGGCCGGCCGCCGTTGGCTGCAGGCGGGGAAGCTGATTGGCCATGGCATGACCAACTTCCGAGAGGCGTCGGGTACTGGCGGTCATACAATACTCGACTGTCGTGCTGACATCCGCTGGGCTTAAGCATACCAAAGCCGACGACACGCGGCCTCCAAGTCGACGTCTATCGTCCGGACGGGCTGATGCTGGTTACGTGTTCAGCCTCTCATCCACAGAAACGACCCAGCCGCAGCAGCTGACGAATCTGCAATTATCAAGCACGACGACACACACGAAGGCCACATACACACTGAACAGCGAAGGGAGAAATGTCTACAAATTCACATCATTCGTATTGTTGGTGGCAACTGTCTTCCTATTGACCACTCCCCGATCCACGTTCTAGCGTTGCCATGATCATGAATCGTTCTATGTACACACAATTAAATATTATAGGACTCGTCCATTAATGGGTTCCCGGGATTCTGTGTGTCGGCCTCCCATCTGTTGGTTGTGAGGAACCCACTCTCAGCTGTTCCTGCCGGGCTCGTCCTGTCCCCAGCGGATGCGTCGTCTTTGTCACCCTCTTGGCATCTTTCTGCCTCTGGTGGTTTGAACATTGTCATGCTGGCGTGGATATGTCCTACTCCGTTCGTTCCACTCCGTCTTCCGTATAAGCGAATGCACTTGGACGGCTCTCTCGCTCGTCAAGTTCCTGCGTGTTGCTCCGAGAACTCCGGTTTGAGGCCCCATGAATCCCCAATATCTCTAGAATGCCGATACCATGCCATGCCATGCATATCAAGAATGCCCTCATCTATTTACACATGAGGCTTCTCAGAGCCCCAACGTCTTCAAACACGTTAAATCGAGTTAAAAACCGCCGTTTGGTGGGTCTTGCTAGAATTGGGCTGTGCGTCGAATCGAAGGAAAAAATAAAAGGAGCCAACGCCGCCTATGCCAAGGAGCGCGGTCCAGTCGAAAGGTAGGTAAATGATAACAGTGAAGGGAATATAATTGTCGTTACGCCATTTCGTCTGCTGAAAGTGATTTCGCCCTTTGTCGGGTGACCTTTTTGCTGACCGAGTACACCAGGTCCAGCGTCCAGAAATGGCACAGCTGGGCCTGGGCGCAGGGGATGGCTCCGTAAATGGGAGCCACCAAGGGAACCATGGCGTAGTCGATAAAGTTCTTCTTGACGCTGCGGTAAGAGAAGTTCATGCCGTCGGAAAGACCGGCTTCGGACATCTCGCGCTGGCGGGACTTGACGCAGATGCGGTGGAAGCTCTCGTACAGGAACAGGTAGAGTGCAATCTCCATGAAGCCGAGAGTGCGCAGAACGTTGCAAATGTCAAAGATCCAGCGGAGGTGAGCGACCTCCTCACTGCCCTCGGTGACCCAGACGTACAAAGTGGAAGCGACGACGAGGATGGTCATCTGCAGCGGCAGGAAGTGGGCCTCGAACAGACGGTGGAAGAGGTAGACGATGCGTTCCCAGTTAGGGGCCTGGAGAGTGTCGTGCGTGACATCGGAGAAGATGCCGCTCTCACGGGGTTGCTCGGGGTTCTCCTGGTCAAGAGGGGCCTCGGGGACGTAAACATCAGAGGCGTCGCCGAGAGAGGTGTGCAGAGGGCGGAAAGCGCGAGAGGTGTGCTTGCGCTCTTGCCAGAGCTCGACGACCTTGCGGAGAGCGTATCCGGAATCCAGAGCACCCCACATGTGTCTCATAGCCTGCTTGTACCGGGCCTGCATATCCGAGTAGAGTCCGCGCAGACCCTTGGAGCCGTTGCCGCAAACGTTGCTCTGGCTGACGGGGCTGAGCACGGTTCGGACCGTCAAGTTTCCGTTGAGTGCGAAAAAACACTTCAGGTACATGTGCAAATCCTCACCGATAGCCTCGTTGTCGCAGTCCCAGCCACCGACGCGGTCGACAAGATCCAAGGGAACAGAGTAGACGGACGTGGGAGGCGCAATGGTCGAGCCGCCGTACAATCCAGACATGCCACCGGCACCCCAGAGGATGTCGGCAACACGGACAATGGCGGGAACGGCGTGGGCATTGCGGTCGAAGATGATTGGGGCCGAGTAAAGGGTGGTCTTTGCTGTTTCGGGGTATGATAGGTGCATGGTGGTAAGCAGGGCGAAGTAGTTGGCCGAGAGGTGGCTGTCGGCTGTAGATACCCCACGTTTTGGTCAGCGAATCATTCTACACGCGCAAACATTGGAAACATTGACTGCGGCAGAATCTCTGATTCTGACAAGCGCACGTACCGTCAATTCCTGTAATGATCACATCCTTGCGGGCGGTCATTGAGTATTTTTGGCTCAACTTGCGGGCAGCCCATGCCACGTTGCTTCCCTTTCCGGCGGACTCCCCTGGGATGTCGGAAGGGTGAACAGTGTAGTCGATGCCGCGGAACTTCTTGACGAATTCTTGGATGAGAGACATGGCCTTGAGCTCGACGTTGGGCTCACGCTGCTCCATGCCCAGGTAAACCTAGAGGGGTCCGAGTTAGCGGTTGGACGCATGATTCGGGGCGCGCGTCGTCCAAAGCCGGAGAAAAAGTTTGCCGTGGTTGCGAGTGCTCGACCGGTGGATAGAAGACAACATGTGCAGAAATGGACTTACGTCGTAGCAGCTGCGAGCCTGAGGGTGCGAGGCAAGGACCTCAAGGGTCTCCTTCAGCGTGTCCATCTCCTCCTTGTAGTTGGGAATGATGATGGCGTGAATGACGCGGTCAGGTTCGCCATCGGCGTCGGTGTAGAGCTCGGGCTCGGTGTCGCCAGCTTCGCTACTGGAGGCGGAGCAGCCGTGGGATGAGGTCAACGTCTCGGAGCTGGACAGGGAGGTGGAAGAGCCGCGACGGCGATGAGAGAACTTGTAATCCCTCAGGGTCTTGTTGCGAGCGATCTTCTTGAGGCTGCGGGTCATGTCGAAGACGGCGTAGCAGCATCGGATAGGGAAGGCGAAGACGAGGATGTGAATAAACAGGCAGTAGTATGCGAAGATGACGGTCCAGTAGCCGGCGCCCTTGAACGTCGGCGTGATGGCGCTAAGGCTGTCCTGATGCATATAATTGTAACCTTGTGCCGAAGCAGCTGATTCTTTCGAGATAACCCAGTAACTGAGAGACAGCAGGGCCAGCATGGCCAAGCCGCCTGCACGGCGCGAGGCCCAGGCGAAGAGGGACATTGTCGATGACCGACTGAAGCTATGGGTTGTAGATGGAGGCGGCGCGATACCAGCGATAGGGGCGTCGTCGACGGAAGAGCGACAGAGAGGTGAGTCGTCGACGGCAGAAAGGCGACTGCGAGGTGTCTAATCTGTCGAGGCTTGGATAGGGAATGTGCGAAGCCCGGTTTAGGTTGCTCGAGGGAGGGCGAGACCAACAGCTGCACAAGCAACGGACGGATGAGGGAGAGGAACGGAGGGGGGAAGGAGGGAGTCAAGACCAAGAAGCAGTCGAATGGAGCCCTCTTACCCAGCAGGTCGGACAGCGGTCTCTCGCACGCGCGCTCTCTCTCTCTCTCTCGTCACGTAGGAGGAGGAGTGGTTGGAGTAGTGCAGGTGGGAGGGTTGGCAGAGGGGAGGGGAGGGGAGGAAGAGAGAGGAAGAGGAAAAAAGGGAGGGACTGGAGAAAAATTAGAGTGCGTCTTGTCGGATGATATTCACGAGGAGAGAAGTGCAAGCTAATGGATACGGGACGGGACAGAGAAGGAGAAGGAGGGAAAGAAGTGCAAGGTTAGGTTGAGAGAGTGGATGATTTTCTTGGTTAGGACAGGACAGAGCCAGAGCAGAGAGCAGGCCAGAGGACGGGACTGTGACATGGAGTGTGGTGTGGACACTCGCGCGCACACGGTACAAGTGAATCGAGGCCGTCGGCGGGACAGGGGAAAGGGGGGGGCGGCAGCAGCACTTGTTGATTCTTGGGGGGGAGTTGAAGGTACTGATGGAGATGGGAGCTGGGAGCTTCGTGCGTGTTGTATTGGACCAGACGAGACCTGGAGGCCAGGCATGTACCGGGAAGCGGGTAAGGCTCAGAAAAGGTACTTATTTTATGCAAGTGCGCGCCAGCGTCAGAGCCAGAAGCAGGCCTGAAGCAGCCGCACTTGTTTTGGGGGGCCAGCCGGAGGTGGAAGTACCCTCGCCAGCTTTGAACTCTGAAAAGATACATCAACACATACTCTGTACACTTACCTCATCCACACCGGGAGGTACCTACCTCGATGGAAACACTACCCATAGAGGTTATGCAGCTGTAGGAAGCAGATCGAAGCAGTGAACAGCACCTGCGCCAGCCAAAACATGAGCCAAAGCACTCAAGCAAGACGACAAGACGACACAAGACAAGCAGCAGCAGCAGCACAGCAAAGACTGCGGACGCAGGACTGCTCTGGAGTGGGCGAGGAAGGGGGGCAAGGAGCGTCTGGATTGGCGAGACGACAAACAAGGGGCCAACCCAGCAGCGGTGATGGCAGCCGTAACAGACTGGGGTCCAAACTGGAGCAATGGGGCCAGTCGAGCTACCAGGATATGCCTATGAGCTCAGAGGAGAGAAACCTCGATAGAAGCGATGGGCAACGAGATGGGCGATGGGCCAGTGTGGCATTGGCTGGGCTGGTCTGGTCCTGAATGGGGGATTGATTGGACTGTCGATTGGGACTTGCTGCTGGGAGGGCATCCCATTGGCCTGTCACCGCCGAGCCTGAGAGAGGCCCCAGACAAAATGGGGATGGGTGGTGCCGCCGTGCGTGCTCTGGCTAGCGCATCTCTTGCCCGCCTTCTCTCACATCTGTGGTGGGCGGGCTGCCTCTGCCACCGCTGCTGGTGCTGGTGCTGGTGCTGCCGCTGCTACACTACTGCTGCTGTCTGTCGTGCGGGTGCTTCTGCAGATTTGATGCTGCTCACCACAGTCTCCCGCCTCGACAATTGCGTTAGCGCGAAGTGGGGCATTGGTTCGCAGATGACAGGGGTGGCACGGTCGCGACAGGGTTGGGTTGCCTTGGGAATTTTCTGCGCCTGCACTGAATCGCCCCGCGGGAAATGAGCAATGAGAAATTACCGGCTAAGCGGCCACGCTTGCACCGCCGCACTGTGTACTTGCTGTCCAGCACCTCATCAGTCTGCTCTGCTGTTGGAAGCGGCAGTCACCTCCAGCTCTGCGTGGTTGCCTGCTGTAGACAGACTCTCGACACTGCCTCACTCTCCGCTCTGCGCCCACAATTCCCTCTCGACCGCTGCGGAATGTCTCCTTTCGCCTGCCATGGCGTTCGCAATGCTGATGCCCAGAGAAGCTTCAAACCTTTCTAGCTCACTCCTACACTCTCAACTCTTCCTGCTCTTGTCCCTTTGCCCAGCCACGCGGGGCCATCAACAAGTACCTTCACTTGCTCCATGGCTTTAAGTTACGGACAAGCACAGCAGCAAAGCCAAGCTAGACAGCTCCCCAAATCGAGACACATCGTAACACGCATCGCGCGGGTTCCCCTTCAGGTATATTGCTGACCGCTGCCGTAGATTCGTCTGCTGCGCTCTCTCGTCGTCGCCCGTCGTCGCCCGTCCTCGTTGCTTGCGAGTCGCTACCCGTCGGGCAATGGCTCAGCCGCACTTGGCAGCTACTGCTGTCTTCTTTCCGCGCCCGACTGTCCAAGACTCTGTTCTGTGGTCTGTTCCATCAGCGCTGTCTTGTTCTCTGCTGTTCTGGCCGTCCGCATTCAGATGCCAACAAACCGTGCCTTGCCTGGGCAGACAGGCAAGAATTTGGAAAGTGCTCGCACAGTGCGGTCATTTCCGCATCCTCCAAGCGGCGTCAAAACAACAAGAAAAGAAAAAAGAAAAAGACAGGGCCTTTGGGGCCAAGGACCGCTTTCTGCCTGTGCTAGGTTTCTACCTGGGTACCTACTTTTACCAAGCACCTACGCTAAGAACGCTAAGCTGCTGTAGGGTCGCTCCTCCCGCTCTGACGGACTGGGCTGGCTCTGGGTCGCCCAAACGGCATCCCCTTTGGGGGATTTGGAAAGAAAATAGTACCTTCCCCACTAACAAATTTGCGATGCATCGCCTGGGGACGCCACAGTGTTGTGTCCACCGCCCAAGACTTTTGTGCAAGGCACCTGCATGCCCCACGGCAACCAGGTCTCCCCTACGGCTCCCCACTACACCAAATGCTGACCGGCCCAGCTCTGTCGAGGTCCGTCTTCTCGGTTGTCTCGTCAGGGCCCGGAGAACAAAGGAGGATGGGACCTCATTGCTCGAGTGCCCATTATTGTGTCCAACTGATGGCAGCTTGGCGGCCAAAAGCCGACGGGAATAGGAGGAATTGGCTTTGCGGAGATGGATCGGAGGAGGATTCGGCATGCAAGGCCTCCTTTTCCAGCGTGCCAGCATGCCAGCAGCGGTAGCGTTCACGTTGGATCCTTCTCCGCCGCAGGCATCGGATTTAGTAAGCTACTTTTTTAAAGCTGCTCGGGGGCGGCGTAGTAAGCCGTCTCGAAGCTTAGGTTGACCACCTCACACGCCGAACAGCAAGCCATCTGTCGTCACGGGCGTCTGGGAGAAGCTTCACACGTCTTCTGCCATCTTGCCCTGCTGGGAAACAGAGCTTCGTCCGAGGAACTGGCTCGTCAACGGCGGCGCCGACGCAGCAGCTCGGCTCGTGGAGAGCAGCAGTCGGGTTTGGCTTGGGATGTAAGTCGGTGAGGACGGTACCTGCCTCGTGTAAGTCCAAGTGACGATCAATGCCTTCCTCCTGCTGCCTTACCACATCTGCCTTACTGCTGCTGGTTGGTACGTATTCACCAACACACCAACAGCGTAAGGTAGCTCCTGTCAACTTCACCTCAAGCACATCATCCACCTCGGATCTCTGAATCCTTTCATCCCATATCTGCACCTTATCTTGGAGGCCAAGAGGCCAGTGCCATTGTCTCCCTCCATTCCCCGCCCCCAAGGCCCCTGGAAACAGCAAGCCAAACACTCAATTCCTGCGAGCCACCTAGCGTGCTTGTGCGCATGTCACCGACAACGATCCAGCTGTTTGCGGGCTACGAGCCGCTCCTCTCCCTTGCGACAGCCCGTCCACTGCCATACTCGGCCGTCTTTCAACTCGCTCCGTCACCGGGTCTGCCCTGGCTGCTGTCCTGTCGTCTTACATGCTCTTCATCGCACTTGCGCCCGGCCACGAAGGGACGGTCTTGTTGTCTCCGTGAACTGGACGGGCTGTGTTGGTGATCCTCGGTCTCGGAATATAAGCGATTTGCCCGTGGCGCGCATACTGCGCGAACCCGTGTGTGTGCCCGGCGCAGACGAGCTAGCATTTCGCAGCCACGCGCCATGGATCCCGCCATACGTGCCTCAGGGTTACTGAACAAAGACGGTTCCCCAGGCCACCCGTCGTGGCTGCACTTCTTTGCCATGCGTGCGAACCCGGATCGAGATACACGGCGGGCAGATGCTGCTGCTTGTACCACGCTACCTAGGGACTACTGTCGAGAGAGCTTCAGGTCAGTTCGTCGACCACTGCGACAATGGCACGGCTAGCGTGCCATGCACTGCACTGTTGTCGCTTCTCTCCGTCCCGTCTGCAAGTGGTACGTACGCCAAGCGGAGCAAATTGTGGCTCAGCCAGGGCTAGAGGCGCTCGTTGCTGTTGGCCACATCCTCGCCGCCGCAGTGTATTGGTGATCGCTGGCGATTCTCCCAGCGAGGTTACAGTTGTCTACTGTCAAGAAGCCAGCGGCTGGGGCTTGGAGCCCAGCATGGCCTGGCTACGTGTGGCTGCCGTCGTCATCGCTGTAGCCATGCTGCGGCAACGTCGTCATAGGAGCTGGGCGAGGGATGCCGGTGGAAGAGGGTCGTGGATAGAGAGACGACAAGCGAAATGCGAACGCGCCCACGCAAGCAATTCGCGACATGGACATCGACATCGGGCAGACAGGGCAGGCAATGCCAGGCGGGACAAGGCCTCTGCTGCTGTCTGTCTGTTTGCTTGCTTGCTTCCTTGTCCGCCTACAACAAATGTCATCCCATGGCATTCGATCTTTGACGAGACCGTCGCACGCATTGCCAGGGGTCACGACGATTGATTGCGCTCTGCTAAACTAGCTCGTGGCCGAGGCCCTACGATGTTTTTTCTTGGTCGTCCCACCATCGCAAACCTTCATTTGGTGCCAATCCCTCGCCGAGTCTGACAT